TGCCAATCCCAAACGGCCCATCGCAGGTGCAACTGGTGCTTCTACATCTGAAGAAATTCCTGTCCTTCAAGAAACAGCGGGTACAAGACAAAGTGGAAGTCATGAGGTTTACAGTGTCCGTTTTGTGCAACATGAGATGGAGCACCAAAGGAATTCAGATTCTTCTGAGATTGTCGGCACCGATCAGGACAAGTTGAACCTCCTAAACCAGGTTTCGCCTTAAAAATTGGTGGTGCAAAGCGGACAGTGTTTTCCCTTCAGCAGAAGGAGGTTATGATCGAATTTTATAACAGGCAGGCAAACTATGGCATAAGGGCAGACCCACTGGACTGCATTTCAGCTATGAGGGAAAGAGGCTTGGAACCACTCAAAGAAAGTCAGATTAAGAGCTGGTGGAGCACTTACCATCAGAGCGAAAACGAGAAATGGAGAGTATGGCTGCAGGCATCCAAAACGCCCGCAAAACACTGCCTGCTCGAAATGCCAATCAACCGAACCCTTCTTCAGAATCTGGACTGACAAGGTCCACAGGTTCTTCACTCCCCTCATCAACTCCATCCTCATATCCAGCATCAATATCTACAGGTGCACCCACAGCACCAGCACCTCCATCCACATCACTTCCTGTAAGCTTGAATACTTCATCTACACCTGTATTTGCAGTTACAATAGCACCCACGGCACCATCCCCAGCACTAGCACCAGCAGCAGCACCCCCAGCCACACCATCACTTTCTGTACGCCCCAGTACTATATCAGCATCTAACACAACACCTGTAATGACACCATCTGAAACTGGAACAGACGTTGGATGTGGCATCACAGAGTGGTTATTTCCTAGTATTGTCAGTCAGTCAACAGTCGATGGCAGAAATGGTAGCAATGCATGCTCTTTTATTGTGCTTTGCTTTGGTTCCATTTATCGCCAGTCCAGTTTACCTACGCCAGCTGTTGGTCAACCCCTCACCAGACAATAGGAGGCAGCTGTAATAGAAGCCATCAGGACTGGAAACGATTTTCATGATGAACTGTTTGGAGGTGAGAGGATTGATGTTGATGTGGAAGATACTGTTTCTGCAATTGGTGACCACTGTCACATCAGTGGTATTGTGCAGGAGTATAATGTGTTCGGTGCGGATCCACTGAATCAGTTTGCTGCAGTGATAAACTTGATTCTCCAACAGAAGCAGTCATTACATGTGTTAGTGGTCAATGACAAAACAATGATTATCATTGTAGACAGTAATGAAACTTTGATTTTCTTTGACTCTCATATTCATGGCCACCATGGAGCCTTGGTTGCTCGAAGTGACCCTAACCAGGGTCACCAGGCTCAAAAATTTTCAAACTGGGTCAATGACATGCTAAGAAAAAGTCATGGTGTGGGTCTTGCTATTTGCTCATTGACCACAGTTGGTTACTTTTGAGCAAAATTAAACTGTGGACAAAATGGGGTTCAGATTCCCTAAGATAGTTTGCATTATTCCCTGCAGTAGGGCTGTCACTAAGATTTCAAATTNATAGCACCCACGGCACCATCCCCAGCACTAGCACCAGCAGCAGCACCCCCAGCCACACCATCACTTTCTGTACGCCCCAGTACTATATCAGCATCTAACACAACACCTGTAATGACACCATCTGAAACTGGAACAGACGTTGGATGTGGCATCACAGAGTGGTTATTTCCTAGTATTGTCAGTCAGTCAACAGTCGATGGCAGAAATGGTAGCAATGCATGCTCTTTTATTGCGCTTTGCTTTGGTTCCATTTATCGCCAGTCCAGTTTACCTACGCCAGCTGTTGGTCAACCCCTCAACAGACAATAGGAGGCAGCTGTAATAGAAGCCATCAGGACTGGAAACGATTTTCATGATGAACTGTTTGGAGGTGAGAGGATTGATGTTGCTGTGGAAGATGCTGTTTCTGCAATTGGTGACCACTGTCACATCAGTGGTATTGTGCAGGAGTATAATGTGTTCGGTGCGGATCCACTGAATCAGTCTGCTGCAGTGATAAACTTGATTCTCCAACAGAAGCAGTCATTACATGTGTTAGTGGTCAATGACAAAACAATGATTATCATTGTAGACAGTAATGAAACTTTGATTTTCTTTGACTCTCATATTCATGGCCACCATGGAGCCTTGGTTGCTCGAAGTGACCCTAACCAGGGTCACCAGGCTCAAAAATTTTCAAACTGGGTCAATGACATGCTAAGAAAAAGTCATGGTGTGGGTCTTGCTATTTGCTCATTGACCACAGTTGGTTACTTTTGAGCAAAATTAAACTGTGGACAAAATGGGGTTCAGATTCCCTAAGATAGTTTGCATTATTCCCTGCAGTAGGGCTGTCACTAAGATTTCAAATTGTGCTCGGATATATGCTAGAATAATTATTAGTAAAAGGTGGATCAAACAGGTAGAATTTTCTTTTAGTTCTATTTTCCCTATGTTTCTAATGATAGTAATGGCCTGTGGTGTACCCTTAGTGACAGCCCTGATGCAACCAAGTATGCAAATCTATTGTGGTTTTACTTGATGCCTGGTTCCAAAAATCTAAATGCCTTTATAGTGTCTTTATTATTATATTACCATATACAAATCAAAGTAAAATGAAAATTGAACCACAACATTACCAGGCAACAGTCTCCTTTTATTTCTCATTTTTATCCCTTCATTTTTTACTATACTTTGTTTTGACCGTGGTAATTTAATGATGAATACGAATCAAAGTACAATTAAATTTTGATCATAAAGATTCAGTTTTAAGGGTAATTTTCCTGTTTCCAAAATAGTTAACCTGGTTCTGCAGAGAGAAATTTTAAGAGTACGCCATGAAATTTTTTTGAAAAAAGTGTTTTGAAAAAACCAACGGAATAGTGCATGTAAATCTGTGCCACCAAAACTAGTTTCTAATGGTGAGAAAGGACCTAACATGGTTCCAGGGGCCACAATAGGCTAACCAAGAAAACTGATTTACATAATGTTGAGTTAACCAGTGTTTTGAAATAGTTGTTATTATGTCCAATGCAACTGACAATTGTTTGAGTTGTGGGAGGGGTTGGGTGTGGAGTGCTCATGGAAGTAAAAGCTTGGTGTTGCTATTATAGGCATTGAAGCAGAAAATGGCTATGTAAATGGAAAACATAAGACTGTAAATATTTTTTGTCATTTTTATGTTTGCAACTCCCCCATTTCAGCTTTTCAAGACTTTTTGCTCAATACATAACCTTGAGTAGATAATTCAGGAAATTTGATTCAGTATTCGAGTTTACTTTTCTAATAAAGCTTGTTGGTTTTCCTTTATTTTATTCTTCTCTTTGAACTTCCTTAACTGCCTAGTGTTTACATCTCGTTTTTGTTTGTTTGTTTTTTCTTGAAGGGGGTAGGGGAGGGGGGGTGGTAGTTAAAGGGATCTGCAGCTTCATTCACTTGCGGCTCTCACATTTGAAAAGATTGAACGGATTTGGATAAAAAAAGAAGAGATAAAGAAAAATTTATGAAGAAACGCCAACTTAAGTGAAACAAAAGTTTTATCTGGCAAGTACTGTATTACAAACTGATTTCCAAAATAAAAAAATGAAAATTGGGAAATATCGAAAGTAAGGCAATATCACGTATCGCCAGAAACGATAGTAATTCATAGATAAGAGAAAACTAGAAAAAATACAAAAGGTCTGCGATTAAGAAATTATATGACAGAGTCTCCTTACTCGACTGCATCCTGAGAGCACTGTTGGCAAATAATGCAGAGGAATCACTATTTCCAAACCGAATTTCCTTTCAATCAAAGGGATCAGAAAATGCTTATAAGGTTATTCACAGATAGGCATGAAATTATCTGAGAGTAGGTAGACGTGTATCAAAGGTTACAAGTCTGGTCATGGATTTGGCAAGCTAAAACAAATCTTATCTGATTGTAACTAAATTCCTCCAGGTTGTCCCGCACAGTATGTAGTCTCCTGTCGTTGCTTGACATTATTTCGCCCTTTATCCGTTCAAATGACTCTACGCTAATAGCCAGATACTTGGCCATTGTCTGGTGGTCCATGTCGAGCCCTGCCGCAAGACAATCGATACCATACACCTCTGCCGTGGCTTGGGCGACCTTCAGTTCGTCTGCCAATTGTTGAAAGTTTTTCCCCATTTTCAGTCCCTCAGAAACTAGATGTTTTTTGGGTGACAGCTTGTTTTGTCCATACATCTCTCGCAGTTCCATCCTCTCAGTTGCCTTCTATGTGCCAAAAAAAACGGTTTTGAGAATTTACAACAATAATTACTTGCAAAAAAGGTTGTCCGTAATAATCGTAGTCTACTTACACATCAGTCTTGACACTTTTGGATCCTGAGCCTTCGTCTCCACGTGGTTGACTGGATCTTTTCCTGGATTGCGGATAGAAAATAGGGAAAAAATGAATATCGCAAATTTGAATGCATCCTAATCAAAGCTATCAAAAACGTCCATAAAGTATGTTTCGATGACTTGCCTTTTGTCCATCTTGTGTGTTCACAACAAGTAATAACCTAGCAGATCGGACTTTATGATGAGCTCAGCCTGAAAAGAAGAGCAACAATAGAAAATGACCGGAAAAACAACAGAGGATTCTTCCAATCGCAAGGTGACAATTTTTCGTACGTTGTGATTAGAACACCACTGCGTGAGAGATTTCAATCACGTACGTATTTGTTACACGAAACGTGGTCAGAATGATCGAAGTTCTCTTCTTTTCACCTCTTGTTTTTTAGTATCTTGAGCCAGAAGATCTTGTGAGTGCATCGTCTGTTTGTCTTGCCTGGTGGCGATTTGTATTCCAAGGCCGCAAATCAACTGCCAAAGCATTCCATCATTGCCAACAACTTCACTTAGCCGACACAGGAAAGCAGTATCGAAATATTCCGCTACGTTATTTCTCAGAGTTAACGTGGATAAACCTAACAAGAACCATGATCTCATCAGGTGATTTCCTTAAACTTGTTGGAACAGCTTAACATCTTGAGATGGTGAACATTGAAAGCTGCAGCAGAATATCTGAAGGAGCGATATTCAAAGCTAAAAGTTTCCTTCCCTGTTTGAGAAAAATAAACATCTCCTTCAACGATCAGTTGAGCGTTCTTGCGGTGGCTTGTTTGTGTTCCTGTTCTTCCTTACGAGATATCCGTGCGAGAGGAATAAGGCTGCCGGCAAAAGAACTATTGTTTCTGACAAGAACTTTTCCCCGACTTGGAAATGGACGCCTAACTCTGGACATTGGTTTCGAGGGAGGTGATTACTTTGTGGATGCAATAGACGCCTTGTCAGACTTTGATCTTTTCTGAAAAGATTCGCGCAGTTCAGGGTTGAAATTTATAGCTATGTAAAAAAAAGATTCGCGCAAATCGCGTAGGGATTATTGCGAACGCATTTCACATTATTTTTCATTGTTTCATTCTGATGCTGGGAAACGCGCAATTTGGTGTCAGGTTTATGCGCAAAAACTTCAGCCAATGATGTTGGCTGTAAATGACGTTTCTGTCATCGCAGATAGGAAAGATAACAGGTATTTTGAGCACCCAAGTAGTCTTGACGAATTTTGATAAATTTCCTCAAATACAAATTTTCTGAAAATTACTTGGTTTAATTGTTTCGTTAATATGTATGTAACATGTTAAATTTAGGTTTGAAATCACTCTGTAAGGATTATTTTTTGATGAACGCTCGTTTGAATTTC